TCTGTGCTGCGTGGTCCCTGCTGCCGGGGGCTTCGGGGCCAGGGCGAGGAGACCTGGGTAGAGACAGCCGCTGGCCGGGACAGCATTAATTCCTTATGCCTCAGAGCAAGACCTCTGTGCCCTTGGCCACTGCCCCACGCCCATGCCCCACACCTCTGTGGAATAGCAGCCCCTTCCCCACAGAGGGCAGGAGAAGAGGCTGCAGTCTCCCAGGGTCTCCTGGCATGAACCTCCCAGTCCCCTCTCCACCTAGGTGGCCCCTCCCGGCCCCTCCTTGTTGCCCACCCCGACTCTGGTGGACCCTTCACCTCCCTCCCTTGGAAGCAGGGCCCTCAGAGTGACTGCAGACAAACAGGATACTCTGCCCCGTGTGCAGGCTCTGCGGAGACAGGCACCCTGCTCAGATGGTGGGCCCTGGCAAGCTGGGGTCTGGGTGCCTGAGGGCGGCCAGGCGGCTACATGCACACTGAGCAGCTATTCCAGACTCGGAGTGAGGTGGGCACCTGGAAATTGGGGCGGGGGGGGGGGGCTCCTGTGTTAGAAAGGGCTGCATAATGGAGGCCGTGAAGGACGGCGGCTTTGCATGGAGTGGGGGGTGGGGGCTAGGCAATAGTAATAGCATTCGGCAACCTCCTTGCCATTGGCTATGGATTTTTGCATTTTCTCATAACCTTTTCTTTGTTTTAATCATTTCTCCACACTGAGCAAGTCACTAAGGGAGCCCGGGTGGCCTAGTGGGGTTACCAGTGGGGCTACCTCACCACAGGTCAGTGGTTCAACCCCACTAGCTGCTCTGCTGCAGAAAGGCGAGGCTTCCTACTCCCACAAAGACTTACAGTCTCGGAAAACCCACAGGGGCAGGTCCCACAAGTTGCAGTCAACTCATTGGCAGTGAGTTTATGAGTTTTGGCAAATGACAAGACTGATACAAAGTAGATAAGCAACCAGCATGCTGGTCTCAGCTGCCGTTGTTGTGTGGGGCCTGCCTCCGAGCAGCCCCTGGGGACGGTGGAACGAGGTGCTCTCCAGCCCTGTGCCATCTCCGAGATGGGGTGTGTGTGGGTGGCATTTCTGATGCAGGGTGTTTTCGTTGGCTGATCTTACCCAGCCGGCTTTCCTTCCTTCCTTCCTTCTGCGCCCACCCCCCACCCATGTCTGGTACCACAGAAGCATGTAGTGTCCCCTGGCAGACGGTGGGACTCAAACCACAGGGAACCACCCCCACCCTGCCCTCCAGATAACTAGCGTGCTGATCTCCTTGCCTGCCCCCCAGCCCTGCGGGATAGGGTAGACCTGCCCCATGGGGCTGTCACAGCTGTCATTTGTATGGGGCCCAGTTGCCAGGCCTTTCTCCTCATGGGGCCCCTGGTGAGTTGGTCCCTGAGGCTTTGCCTGACCCCGCTGCCAGCAGGGGTTCTGGTAACCCATGTAAACCAAATACTCAAACCCACTAACACAGCGGATTCCAACTCAGTGTGTCTGAGACTGCAACAGTTTATGGAAACCAGGGTAGCCTCATCTTTCTCTTAACAGAGCCACTGGTGGGTTTGAACTGCTGACCTTGAGTTAGAAGCCCAACTCACTGCCTGACAGTGACATCAGTAGTATCGCTGCCATCACTGGTGTCGAGTTGATACCGACTCTTAGGGACCTGCTGCCCATTTGGGTTTCTAAGGCTGTAACTCGTTACAGGGGAAGAGAGCCCTCTCTTTCTCCTGAGTTGCTGCTGATGGGTTGGAACCGCTGACCTTGTGCCTAGAGCCCTTTGTTTGCCACTGGTGTAGAGAGGGGCAACATTGGGGTTAAGGAGGTGCAGTTGTTTTTTAAAAAAATATTTTAAAATTAATAAATCATTTTATTGGGGGCTCTTACATATTTTAGAACAATCCATACATCCATTATATCAAGCGGACATGTACAAATGTTGCCATCAACAGTTTCAAAACATGGTCTTTCTCCTTGAGCCCTTTGATATCAGCTCCTCTTTATTCCCTCCTTCCCCCACCCTACCACCTCTGCGAACCCTTTATAGAGTATGTATTGTTGTTATTATTTATACATATCTTACTCTGCCCATCTATCCCTTCACCTGCTATCCTGGTCTTCGTCCCCCTCGAGGGGGGGGTTATTCTGCCATCATTGCTGTCCGTTCCCCCTTCTTCCCCCTTTCCTTTCCCTGAACTCCTGGAATCATTACTCCCAATACTGTTTCTAAGGGGGTTTGTCTATCCTGAATTTCATATATTGAAAGATCTCGTCTGTACCAGTGTATGTACAGCAGTCTAGCAGGATTTTCGAGGTCATGGTAGTGGGGGGAGGAAGGATTAAAGAACTAGAGGAGTGTTGCGTGCTTCGTCAGGGCTACATTGCCCCCTGGATGCATCTTCTCCTCTGTGCAGCCCCTCTGTGTGGGGATAATGTGTCAATATCCCCGGGTGGGCTCTGGGTCTCTACTCTTACTGCTCTCCTTCACCTCAATAAGATTGTTTACTTTTGAACTTCTGATGTCTGTTCCCGTCAACAAGGGAGGTGCAGTTTTTTTTAATAGCTTGAGATTTTGAACAAGACTGGAAGGACCATAGGGCAGGCACCAAACCCAAACTCACGGCCATCAAGTCAATGCTGCCTCATGGTGACCCTATAGGACAGGGGAGAACGGCCCCTGTGGGCTTCCCAGACTGCAACTCTTTAGGGGAGTAGAGAGCCCCATCTTTCTCCCATGGTGCCGCTAACCTCAAGGTTACCAAGCCAACACACAACCTACTACACCGCCAGGGCTGGATCAGCCCTCGTCATTGAATCATTTAAAGAAATCCAGAATGCGGTGCGATGGGGACTCAGTTCACAGCGAGTACCCCAGGCGTCCGGCGTGCCTCACCGTCGGCCTGGGAAACAGAAGCTGGAAAGATCCCACGTCAGTCCCGAGGCTCCTGACCATCCCCCACGCAGATGTCTGAGTTCTTAGCCATCTTAAGACGTTTACTTTACAAAATAGTTTGTGTGTGGAGAGAGGGTGGGCCGAGTGGTCAGGGATTCGCCATCCCTGTGATAACCCGGCCCAGCAGCACACAGCCTTCGAGGCGCCTTAAGAACTTTCCACTCTGCTTGCCGAGCTGCGTTGGTGCAGTCCGGGGGTCGGGGATGCGTGGTGGGGGTTCCTCTCACCCCAGGGGCCGACTGAAGATGCCCTGCAAGTCACGGCGCCCGTCCCGAGAGAGGGAGAGAGGCTGACGTGGCGAGAGGTGCCTGAAAATGGATAGACAGTCGTTCTCCGTGTCGGAGGCTGGGAATACAAATGCAGGGCGCCGGCTGGAGGGGCTGGCACTCTCTGTCCCCTCAAGGGTGGCCCTGTGCTCTGTGTCCTCATTCCTGGGAAACCTCCAAGTGTCCTGGTATCAACTTCCCCTGCGCTCTGCTACGTTCTCTCCTCTAATCTCTTTTCTGTCTCACAAGAGATCCACTCAAGATAGGGCAGCCGACATTGCGTCGTTTATGTAAGGCCCAGACGTGAGGTCAGGGTGCACAACACGTGTTTGGGGTACCGGTCCAATCCACGGCAGCTTCTTCCTGCCATTGAGTCGATGCCGACTCACAGCGACCTATAGGACAGGGTAGAATGGCCCCTCTGGGTTTCTGACACGGGAGTAGAATGCCCTGTCTTTCTCCCTCGGAGGGGCTGCTGGTTTTGAACTGCTGACCTTGTGGATCGCAGCCCAACATGTAACCACTAGGCTACCAGGGTTTCTCCCATGATAACCCAGCAAATACACCCATTTTTTGTGGGTCCTTTCTCAACCCCTTTTGTGAGGATCCCTGTGAGTCAGAATCATTTGGCAGCTGGTTTGGTGTGTGGTTGAGGTAGGGGGATTATGAATGGTCTGAAAATGGGGTGGCAGAGAGTGTGTGTGCTGAAATGGGGAGCCACAGGAATCTTCGACTAGTGGTGCCCGAGGTGACAGCCCTGCCTGCAGCCAACTTCAGCTAGGTTGGGGGGCCTCCCCGGGCTGTGGGCCGTGCTCCCAGCTGGTCTGCTCATGCAGTGTTTACAATCATCTGGAGGCTGCTGCTGGGGGCTTTTCCTGAAGTCACTCCTGTGTGGACTGCAGCTGTCCTCCTCCATCCTATCCTGTGCAGTCCAGTCAGTGTGGAGGTCTCGCCTTCTGGAGACCCGACTCTGTCCACCCCCCCATGCTGCACATTGCTGTAACTCTGAACAGGAGCTTCCAGACTGAGACAGATAAGGAAGAAAGACCTGGTGACCGACTTCCGACAGGCACTGTGTTGAGGGGGTCCCCCCCCCAGTTTCAGATTACTTATTCTTCTATCTATAATTTCACATGGATTTCACCACATTGGATGTGATGAAGTAAGACAGGTGAAACTGTTCACGACAGATGAGTACGTAGGCACAAGTCACCTGTGCTTACCTTGCTGGCTATACAAATGCAGGGCGCTGGCTGGGTGACCCACCCCTGAGTCTGTGAGCTGGCACCCAACTCCACAGAAGAGACTGCCCCACAGCCAACCTGCACGGGGTGGCCTCCTTCTGTTTCTTGGCGGAATAGCAAGCAGCATCTGGTGCTGCCCTGGCTTGATGACACCATTGTCTCAGTGATGGATATTCCAAGCTCCAAGAGAAGGGCGTCCCAGTGTATCTGCCTGAGTTCAGTGGAGACACGAGGCCATGGGCCAGTGCTGTGAATCTCAGCTGTGGGGGGAAATAGAGAGGTGTCCGCTCCTGTGGTTCTGAGCCACGGGGCCCACCAGACGGACCTGAAACACACCAGGGCTCTGCCCGGCCCTGCCCGCCGTGGGACTGACTGCGCTTGCTGTATGTCTGTGGGTCAGAAAGGCAGCAGGGGGTGTGGGGGGTGCAGCTGGGGGAGTGTGCAAGGTCTTGTTCATGTCTGCGCTCTCTGCTGGGGGTAAGTATTTAAATACGGGGGCTGATGGGATGGGATAAGCCTCAGCTCTTGGAATTGTTTTCTTTTCCTTCTTAGATCTTCAATCTTATGAAGTACGACAGCTACAGCCGCTTCTTAAAGTCTGACTTCTTTTTAAAACACAAGCGCACCGAGGAGGAGGAAGAGGAGGAGAAGAGGGAGGAAGATCTGCCCGATGCCCAAAGTGCAGCGAAAAGAGCTTCAAGAATTTACAACACCTGAGCCCCCTGGTGAACCAGGGCCGCTGCCTGAAGGAGCCAGGGACTCACTGCCAGGACCCGCTGGGCCAATAGTTGCTTTGTTATGTGCCAGGACTGAAATGTACAAACACCTGTCCGTGGGGTGCGCGTGTATTTTATTTACTGCTTGACCAGTCAGTTTTGCATGATGATGGCTAAGCCTACATAAAAAATAACCAATTAGCTTTGAAGTTTTACACACACACACACACACACACACACACACACACACACACACACACGAGGGCGGACAGATTCTGCCAACCCTGGACTTTGGGCATCTTGCAGCTTGATTAAACGTGTGAGGTCACAGGTCCTCCGCTGTTTCTGCCCGAGCCTGTCTCCCCATTGCTGCGCACTTTCTCTCTAGGACGGGTGGGCCTGAGGAACTCAGGGGAGGGGCCATGGCCTGCCAAATGCCTCTTGGGTTACAAAGGAAAGGGCTTCGAAAAGAAAAGTGCGTAGGAAAATTCCATTCTCTTCAAATCGAACTTTTCCCATTCATTTTGGACACCCCTTCACACTTCTCGGGAACTCAATCGTCGATGGGTAGCCCTGAGATGGGGCCCTGTGTGTGTGTGGGCGGGGGCGGAGGGTGTTACCAAAGGGCTGGGCAGGGTTCCTGTGAAGGGCTGGTCCCGTCTTGCCCACAGTCTACAACATTTCACGGAACACAGATAAATAGTTCGTCCTGACACACACAAGATCTCTCGCGGGGAGGTGGGGTGGGGTGTAAGGTCAATGGGAAATGGCTCGGGGTCCCCATGGCAACACCAGGTGGTGGTTGAATGGGGGAGTAGCTCCAGGTGGGTGCTGAAGATGGAGTTGGGGGTCCCTTCTCCCTTGGTACATTTCTTCTGATGTTTGCCCTTTGCAAGCCTTGTCTGCTTCAGCTTGGAAGCTTTAACCAGGGGGCATAAACGATGTCTGCAAGTGGGCTTTCTGGCTGGGCTGGGAAGCAGCGGTCAGTCACTCCTCTTTAGAGCAGAGCCCCGTGGTCAGCCACACTTTCCTCTGCTTGGGGGCCACCACGGCTGCTCCCGGCCTGCCTGGCTGGTTTGTACAACTTACATTCCGATCTTCACAAACAAAGCCACCAACCTCACTCTACTGCTGGCAAGCCTTGGAGCCCAGGCATTTTCCATTTGAAGAACACTGCGTGATACCGTGATGACGCCAGACATAATTTGCCCCTCAACCCAGGACACTCTAAAAGAGAGAATGGGGGCACGTCCTGGGCAGCATGCATGCCTTGGCTCGATTCTGGGGAAGCCAGACCGTCTCTGCTGATGACCCTCGCTAGTATGACCTCTTCAGGGTCCCCACATGATCCAGCCTCGTCCATTCACTGCCCCCACCTACTCCCATCTTGGGCCTAAGGGAGGGATGGCCTTGGGGAGCCAGTCACTGCTGAGAATTAAACCACCTGGCTGGTTGGGCACCAGAAACAGCAAATGCTACCCCCACAACAAAGGGTTTCTGCACCTGTCCAGGTAACCCCAGTAGATCTCCTCCTGTGTCCTCTCTGCCCATCTTGGAAACCTTGGTATGAAATAGCGCCATTGGGCAGGCTGTCAAGTTCTCTTCCTGCTGTCCACGTCCAGGCTTAGAGTGTAGAAGCAGTCATCTCGCAGTGTGAGGACCAGCAATAGGACAGGTCCCTGAGCTCACCTTTCAGCGTGTACAGAAGAGTGCAGGTATGTGGGCCCCCCTGCCCCGACTGCCGGTGGAGGTGACTCAGAGGTGCCGTGGAAGGCCTGATGGGGCAAGGAGACTCTCTCTGTCCGCCCTTTTGTGCTGGACTCGGGCCGAGTGAGTGGGGCGGTTGTCACAGAAAGAGCAGCTCAGGAACAGCAGTGGGATGTGGAACCTCAGGCTTCATCACCACTGAGCTCACGCCGTTTCCTGCTGGCTACTGGAATGTACCCCTCGCAGAGCATCATCCTGAGCCAGTAGCCTGAGGGAGGCGGAGGCCTTAGGAACCCATCTGGCCAGATGGACGTGTTCCACTAGCATTTCCTTCTCACTCCTGTGTCTGCCCATCAAGGGAGCATCTGCCTACCTGGTTTACTTGTGCTTGCCAGTCTGCGCTAAGGCATTGTACCTACAAGTTAGGAAAGAAGCAAAATTAAGCCCACATGTTCTCTGCTTACTGTGAGCTGATGTTTGTCATGCTTACTAATTGAGCAGCCTCTTCATTCATAGGCATCCTGGTGGTGTAGTGGTTATGTCTTGGGCTGGGTTGCTCATTGCAAGGTCAGCAGTTTGATATCCCCAGGTGCCCCAAGGGAGAAAGATGAGGCTTTTTACTCCCATAAAGAGTTACAGTCTTGCTAATCCACAGGGGCAGTTCTACCCTGCCCTTGAAGGGTGGTTGGTTATGAAGCAGAATTTACTCGATGGCAGTGAGTGCGATTTGGTTATATCCATTCATCCACTGACTAAAGGAGTTGGAGTGCCAACAGAAAGGTCAGCAGTTTGAAACCACTAGCTGCTATGAGGGGGAGAGACAAGACTTTCTACTCCTGTAGAGCCACAGTCTAGGTAGAACTGTCCTGCTGCATTAGGAGGAGGAACGGACTCGATGGCAGTGAGGTTTTGTTGTTTGTTAGTTTTTTGAGCCCATGTGGGTTACATGTTGCGCTACTACCACAAAGCAGTTCAAACCCAGCAGCCGCTCCGTGGGAGAAAGATGAGACTGTTTCCGGAGGATGTGCAGTCTTGAAAGCCCACAGGGTCAGTCCTTCCCTACCCTACAGGGCGCCTGAGAATCAGCACGGTGACCTTGAGTTGTGAGTGATCAAGTGCTCGTCCCTGGGTGCTGGAAAAGGCTAACACTCGCCTGCGAACCGGAAGGTGGGGGTTTTGAATACACCCAGAGTCACCTAGAGCAAGGCCTGGCAGTCAACTTCTGAAAGGTCAGCCGTTGGGAGCCCCCAGAGCACGGCTCTCCGGCACACGTCCTGAGTCTGGGTCGACGTGCAGGCGCTGGGTTTTACCTGAGGTGACCAGAAGTCCCGCTTTTGGTGGGACAGTCCTGCTTTTTAACAATGTGTCCCGCGGCGGTTTTAAAAAGTCCTGATTTTTGGAAAGAATGCTCGACAAGCTAGGGAACGACAGAATGGGAAGACCCAATTTTTAGTCAAGAACTCCCACCCCCGGTCAATGGTGTCCTGCTTTACCAATGTTAAAATCTGGTCACCTTTGTTTTACCGTGTGCTAGGATCGGTGGAAGGGGTCCTGGTGGTGCGGCAGGTCAAGCACCTGGCTGGTAATCCCAAGGCCAGCCAGTGTAAAACAGAGACCAGGGCTTCTCCAGCCCCAGGCTTGGTTTGGGGTCTGTCTCCTGGAGCCCGTCAAGAGTTACAGCCTCGGAAACCCACAGGGGCAGCTCTGCGCTGTCCCGCAGGGTCGCTGTGAGCCAGCAGTGAGTGAGTGTGAGGAATGCGGCCAGGGGCCTGGTGGCGCAGTGGGTGAAGTGCAGGGTTGGCGGTCAGAATCCACTGGCCCCTCTAAGGGGAAAGTTGAGGCAGCCTGCTTCAGCAAAGACTCCTAGCCCCAGAAGCCCTTGGGAGCTGTGCTCCGGCATGTTGGGTGGCTGGGACTCATGAGAGTCCACTGGATGGCCGTGGGCTGGGGCCTCAGCGTGGACAGATGGTAAAGCAGGCCTAGAGATCCCTGCTCCGTGGCGTTGGCAGGGGTCGCAAACCCGCAGTCCACGGGGTTGGAAGGTGCATTGGGTTGAGCTTGGGCTGGTCCATAGGCGCCCCAGCACATCTGTGTGGCCTAACCTTCCCTTTTCAGGGAAAAAAGGAAATTACTCAGAGCCCCCTGGCAATTAGCACTTGCCCCTCCTCCAGGATAAACTGTAGGTCCCCTAGTGCTCCAGTGCCCTCCAGGGGGCAGCGTGGTCTGCTTTGGGACAAGGGGGTTAAGCTTTCAGAAGCAATGGCAGACAGCTTGTGGGTGGTCTATTGGCCACAGGCCTCCCTCCCAGCTTCCCCCCCTCCATGCCCCCTCCAGTCTCTGTAGCCTCTGAGTGCCTGGTATCTGCTTGCTCCTGGTCCCCTGTGCAGAGCACAGCCTAAGTGACCTTTCTTATGGTGACGCCCGTGCTTAGGGGACTCGGAGGCCCACCCTCTCCCCAAGCAGCACAGCAAGCACCCCACACTGCAGACAGAGCAGCTGCCCTGAGCGCTCCCCCCTCGCTCCTCAGATCATAAAAGTGTGAGCGCAGTCATTGCTCCCATTTTAGAGACTGAAAAGCCCACCTGTGTCGGGGCGCCGCGGCAGTTCGTAGGAACTGAGCCTTCATCTCCTCACCCGGCTCCCCTCTGCCCATCCTCAGCGCGGAGAGGGCCAGCCACGCGCTGGGCAAACCTGCTCATAGCCACACACTGGCCACTTCCGGGCCACACACCAGAGGCAAGGGGAAGGGACCCAGGGACACCATGGCCTGGCTCAGCTCGAAGCTCATGTGCTGGTGGTTTTGTCTTTCCTAAAATAGCGGGCTGATGTGTTATGTAACCCCCACACCTAATTCACAATAAATATATCTATTCAGATATCCGGTTGCCACGCCATGCTCCCTGGGGAGAGGCATCCTGAGGGGGGTGAGCTTGTCATCTGTCTCAGGTGGCCCTGTGGCTCCAGTGCAGCTGTGGCAGCGGTGTCACCTGGAGGGTGCTGTAAGAAACACTGATCCCTCCCCCACCCACCATGGGAACCTCTTTATAGGAGCTGCCAGTCTCAACTTTCTCCCTCAGAGAGGCTGGGGAGTTTGAACTGCCAACTTAGGTTAGTGGTTCAATGTGCTACTCAGCCCCTTCACAGGAATCCAGGGTGCTGGCTCTCTGTCCCCAGCGCCCGCGCCGTATCTTCCCGCTGTGGGCTTCCTTCTGCCCTTCTTAGGTCTCGAAGTTGGTTGGTGTAAGGCTCGCCCTGCCTTGGTCTCGTGAGCACACCAGGCCACTACTCATTCCCCAGCCGGGGGACAACCATGGGGAGTGGGTAGGGGTTGGGATTCACACCCCCTGTTTTGGGAAACCCACAGGGGCTGTTCTACGTGTTCAACCCATCAAGGGTTGCTGAGCCAGCCGCGACTCAGTGGTACACCATTCAATCCGTCCTTCCGGAGAATGAGGAGCTGGCTTGGGGACGGCTCCCTGTAAACGGGTGGGGTGCAGTCGGAGGGACAGGAGCCTGGCTGTTTATGAGCGTTGCTGTCCCCAGGGCGAGCCTGGGCTGTGATTCACAGTGTCTTTGTTTACTTTAGTATGGGCTGGGGATGTTCTAGAACTAAGTGTGAAACAGTGCTGTGGTCCTGTTGGCTTCC